TGAGGTTTTGAGCAACCTGGTCTAGTGGAAGGTGTCCCTGCTGCTGGCAGGGGGGTTGGAACTGGATGAGCTTTAAGGTCCCTTCCAACCCTGACCAGTCTGGGATTCTGTGATAATACAATAAAGGCACAAAAATAAGTGCCAGTAACAGCCGAGCAGATGAAAGCACTAGAACAGGGATGAAGCATGACAGGTTGCAACTCATCACCTTCAGCATTCACGCCTCCATGAGACAGGAAACCTGGAGCTGAAATCCACTACATTTTATAGCAGCTGGTCCAAACACAGCTCATGAGATGCTTCAAATGGGCTCGCTCTTGGCTGGGCAAAACCAAAGAGGGGAACAGGAAGGATGTGTGTCACTGGTCATTCCAATCTGCCTACCTTTGATTTTCTCTTCTGCTCCACTCTTGTTCTCAGATCACTCCAGCTCTGCCCACTGAAGGTCCGAACCACCACCTCACATTGGTGAAGGGTTTGAGGGGAGGCATATGGCATCCAGATCTGCACCTCCTGGCAAGGAAGCATTCTCGTGAGACATCAATAGAAAAGATAAAACCAAGCCTAGCTCTGCTCTGTGGCTCCCTGTGCTGGAGAGAGGGAGGGCAAAAAGAAGACTCTCTCAGAAGACTGATGAGCTACTGATTGATCAGGAGGTGCTCTGGACATGTACTCACCTGCTGGAATTTGACCCCATGAGGCTGCAGCTCCAGGACTCTGCTTAGCAGGACATCGTGGTGTCTCAGCTTTACCCACTGAGGATCCGGTGCGAGGGTTCGGAAGTAGATCCGCAGCGGGTCAGTTGCAGCCCCCGGTGGGAAGTAGAAATGGATGCCACAGGCCAGGAACACTCTGCAGCCTTCTGAGGTGACAGTAAAGCTTCCAGAAGAAATGCACGAATGTATGACAGCGTGCAATGACTTCAGCCCTCCAAGAATCAACAGAAGAATCTCCTGCCTTGTGTTTGACTGGCCCCATGAGGCCATAAGCTCCTGTGCACACGTGCAATACCTACCACGCACCAGTCTCATCTGGGACCTTGGTACACCACTGTAATATAAACTCTTCATACCAGAGCCTTACCTGTCCTCTCCTGAGGCAAGGAAGAGTCTTTGTAGCCCTCTCGCACTGGATTCATCTGTGGCAATAAGAAGGTTTGGGTAGGAGGAGGAGACAGACAGAAGTTACTTAAATCAGGGTAGACAAGAAAGGCTGAATTTACATTTCAGTTTTGGCTTAATCCTAATCTGACAGAAGTCACTAAAGGAATCCTGCTCACATTGCAGTGGGCTTCGGATTAAACGGCAGCAGGAGGACAAGAGGAGGCCTGGGGATCCCAAGATGCACTGGAAATGCCAACTCTCCCCCAAGAAAACTCAGAGGCAGGGGGAATTAGAAAATATTTCAATCTACCAGCCCTGCAGCTCTCAGGGCCATGTTTGATTGCCTGTGGCCACCCCTGGGAATCAGCACTTGCCCTTGTGAACATCAGCACCATCGGGAAATCCTGCTCAGGTTCCTGCTCGTTCATCACCTTCATCTTGGACAAAGAGCTGCTCCTCTGCAGCCTGGGAGCCACAGGGAAGCAGGAGGTAACTGTACAGCAGAATCACCTCTTATTGCCCTCTGTGCTTCTAGGATGAGCCACCACAGCCTTGGGGTCATGCAGCAAGTCCAAGAACTGGTGCCCACCTCTGCTAAAAAGGTTGGACCCCTTTAGGGGCCCCTCCTGATCTGTTTCCTGTGAACCCCATTTTCACTTCCACTGTAAAACCTTTCCTGGCACGGTAAAATCTTTCCAGGGACTTTCATACTGGGCTTGGGCTGATAAAAACAGAACTAGTACTGTCTGTATCCTTACAACCTAATCATTGTTCCAGACAAAGAAATACTGATCTGATTCCCCCCCTGCTTGTCTTCTCTAATCCAAACCCATCTACACCATGCTGGGAGCAGCTGGGCAGAACCCACAGCAGCAGCAGCCTTGTAATTACCAGCCTGCGGGGACGGCTCCGTTTCTCCCAAGGGATTGCCTCGGAGGTGCACAAACGGGGAGGTCTGGATCTCGGGTGGGACAGCACGGAGACAATTGTTCTGCAGATCAAGTCTGGACAAGTTGGGCAGGGTGGCAAGCGAGGCAGGGACTGTCACCAGGAGATTGCTGTGGAGATGCAGCCGTCGCAGAGACTTCAAATTGGCTGCAGGTTCGAACAAGAAGTGATTCCCCCTCCATCCGTGCTGTTAATTGCATTGCACTATATTGCTATAACCTCATCTCATGTGCACACACACATCACATGTGCACACACTCATCTCGTGCACACACACATCACGTGCACACACTCATCTCGTGCACACACACATCACGTGCACACACTCATCACGTGCACACACTCATCACGTGCACACACTCACACAACAAAGGAAAAGCAGAAGAACCCAACATCTCTTCAGCTCACACAATAAGGGGTACAGGGAATTAGCTGAGAGGCAATGCAGCCCCCTCTGTCCTCTGCTTTGCAGCACCCAGCTATGAGCATGGACATGAAGTGCTTTTGTAACAGCATCAGTGACAACCCCAGGCACAAAGAGATATGGGACCCAAGAGCCTGGAAGCTGGGCAGCAGTCAGAGCCCAGTTCCACGGACTGGTTCACACCAGACAGCACAATTTCAAGCCCAGATCTGCATCCTACTAAACCCCGGCTCTTCTGTTTCCCATCCTGGGCACTACCCAAAACCAGACCCTTGGCTACTGTAAATTGCATTGAAATCTCAACAGTTCTTGCTGATCCACAGAAGCAGAAAGCGTGGTCCAGAGAGTCGTTAATGCTCAAAGGGACTGACTGAACCAAGCATGTTTCTTCTGGACACCCCTTTCATTTGGCTCTAACGTAACAGACAGTTTGTGCCAGCAATTCCTGGGGGGAGACCAAGGGCCTCAGGGCTCCTAGACTGTACCAAAAAGCCCCTGTCCTTCTTTTCCCCTAGAAAATACTGACCTAAGGAGTCTGGGATGCTCGATAAATGATTCCCAGAGAGATCCAGCTCTGTGCAGTTGTGCAGATTCCCAACTTCTTCAGGGAGGAATTCCAAAGCATTTTCCGAGAGATCCAGGTCCTGCAGCACTGCCAGCTCTCCAATGCTCCGAGGCAACTCCTTCAGCTGATTTTTCATAGCCGAGAAGAAAGTCAGCTTGCTCAGAGAGCCGAAGTCCTCAGGGAGTGCCACCAGGCTGTTGTGGCTCACCAGGAGCACACAGAGGCTGGGCAGGTGGAGGATGCAGCTGGGCAAGGTGGAGAGGCTATTGAAGCTGAGATCCAAGTGGGTGAGACACCTCAGGTTCCCAATGTCTGGTGGCAAGCTATTCAGGGAGCCACGCTGACATGAACCAAACTCATCTCTGGCATGGCCACCTGGGTGGAAGGGAAGTGGAGGAAGAGGTCAATATGCTACAGGGGTACCTCACCAGCCTCATGTGAGACCCCAGAGCACAGAGACCCAGAAGATGGGGAGTTACTGATCACAACGAGCAGCACAGATTACAAAGTACTCATAGAGAAGTGGGTTTTCTGCTCCTTGCCTCAGTTTCCTGATCAGTGAAAAGGGTATAATGGTGAAGACCTGTTATGAAATCAAGAGATGCCACAGTCAACCAGTAGAGCTCTGCCAAACACATCTGGAGTCAAAGCGCATAAAGAGCCAGGCCACTCCACACATCTTCCACCCTTCAGCAGGGTGGCCCATACCCCCCCAAGGCTCCCACTCTCCCTCCCCACCAGCACCAGCAGCCAGCACACCACAGTTCATGGACTAAGGAGACATTCTTCACCCTCCAGGCTTTGCCCATGCGAGGGACAAACAGCCCTGAGGAGTGAGATCTGCCCTTGCAACCCTTGAGAGCAAACGTGAGGAAAGCAGTGAAAATGTGGGGAAAAAAAGCAGGAAAATCAGTATTGTGTAGGGTAGACAGCGCAGAGAGGGAAGGATACAAGCCCCCCACGCTGGCTTGTGACACCCAAACTGGAGAGTGGCTGCACCCATGGAAAATAAGTCAAGTAAACAAAAGGAAACTTCCAAAACTAAATTTCTTAGAATCCCAGACTGGTTTGGGTTGGAAGGGACCTCAAAGCTCATCCAGTCCCAACCCCCCTGCCAGCAGCAGGGACACCTTCCACTAGACCAGGTTGCTCAAAGCCTCATCCAACCTGGCCTTCAACACTTCCAGGGAGGAGCAGCCACAGCTTCTCTGCCCAACCTGGGACACTGTCTCACCACCCTCACAACAAAGAATTTCTCCCTAATATCTAATCTAAACCTCCCCTCTTTCAGTTTAAAGCCATTCTTCATCATCTCCTACTCCCCCTCCGATGTTGTCTCTCTGTACACACCCGCAGCAGAGGGCACCACACATTTCTTACACTGCACAATGAGAACAATCAAACTAACAGATACATCGCACTTTGTACATAACAAAACCTTAATGAACCACTTTCCTGCACTTCAGGATGCTCAGGGTGCGTGCACATCTGACAAAACGAGCTTGATAAAAGCTACTGTCGTTATCCTCACCTTACCAAAGGGAAAAGACAAATGAAATTATTCACCTGAGAAATCTGTGGAGATATAGAAACACACCTCAATCTTTTCAGTTTTCAGCCAGAACCCTGAATTCCAGCCACGAACTCCCCCTTTTTTCCCTCATTTATTTTTAAAAATTCACTGCCGAAGAGCAAATAATTCAGTCTGATACAGAACTGATCCCATTTGTATTGAGATCCTCCCACAATAAAGAGATGAGAAGGTCAAAGAATGAGCCAATATTTCTAGGTCTAACAGTTATTAGTTTGCTCAAATTACGTGCACACCCTGAGTCATACTTTTGATAAAATGTTGAGCAGCCTCTTCTGGTCTGTCTTGAACTCTGCTAAACCCACACTCGACGACACTAAGCAAGATTAAGCTAAAATTGGAAACACAGCAAAGACAGCTCATTATACTCCCAAAAATGAGAGAGGAGCTGAACATTTACCAAAAAAAATCCAACACTTTTCAATCCTCCTCTCCTTGCATAACTCTGCAAAAAGATGCTCTTCTTCTAGAGGACGGATAAAGAAAATGTTGGAGCATCAACCCAACCAGACTCCAAAAACCTGTCCCCAAGCAGCTGCAGAAACAAAGGAAGGAAATAAAGAGTCTAGAAGCTGTGTCCTGTTGAAATCTGCACGCAGCTCTGAGCAAGGCTGAGAGCCAAAGCTGTAGAACAAAACAATTCCAAGGGCAGTTTGTCCGGCAGATGTGGAGAGGAGGATAAAAAGGAAAGCTTGAGCCTAGAAAAATTGGACAGTGATGGTGACAGGCCTGGGAATTTACCTTTGAGCACCAGGGATTTCAGGTGCTTCAGACGAGGAAGGATGCCCAGCGCGGTGCCAAGGAGGCGGTCGTTGGTGCTGAGCCGCAGGAACTCCACCTGGAGCTCCTCTCCCTGTCGCCCCTGGAACAGCTGGAGGAACCGGCAGCAGCCGTCAGGATAAACATCCAGGTTCAGCCTGTTGTCTGCCAGGCAGGAGCCAGGCAGCGCAGGAGCCCCCCAAGCCCCCTCCCTGCTCTTGTCCCTCGGTTCCAGCAGCTCTGCCATCTTCTGCAGCGCGTCCACGGGGTCCGGACATGCTCTGACTTGCCGGGCAGGCAGGCACCAGCGGCACAACCAGGCAGCCGGGACAAGGAGGAGGAGGAAAGACAGCTCTGAAAGAGAATAAAAGTGCACCATGAAGGTCTCCTGTAACACGTGTGTTACCCAAAGCTCTGCGGGCAGAGAGCACAGAAATGCAGGGTGACGGATGCCACAGAAGCTTCTCCTCCTGGAGAAAACCTGAGTTTTCCCAGCTGACATCTCAGCAGGGAATGGAGCAATCGTCCACCATCAGAATAAAGAGCAATATTGACTTTAAAAGATTTAAATTTAAATGCCTGTGCAGATTTCCAAGTTCCTTAGCAGGAAGTTTTACAAGTGGAGAGAGAAACCAGGGCAGGGAGAGCCGAGCCCAGAGCAGAGGGCAGAGGCTGCTCGCAGGCTGCGATGGCTCCTTAATGAACCTGGTTGTGAAACCAAGGGGATAAAAGTGAGTGTGGAGAGATGGAAATGAGTGAAGAGAGCAGAGCGGAGGTGGCAGGACCCGGGAGGGGGTTGGAAAGGGCAGGTCCATGGCACAGGGGCACTGGGCTGCGCAGCGGGACTGGGGCTCCTGCAGATTTGCCTCTGCAGGGATGCTCTGATGCAGCAAAGCAGGGACGAAGCCGTGCTGGCTAGTGACTGGCTAGTGACCAGCTAGTGACTGGCTAGTGACCAGCTAGTGACTGGCCTGTCCTTGTTTCCTCCCCTCACAGCACCCTCCACAGGTAAGGGGGAAAGGAGCGATCACACAGACCGTGCTAAGAAGGATTTAGACCTAAAGGAGCAGGGATATGAAATCTGACCAAATTCATTATTCCTCTGCCTTCTTAGCTGAAGAAGCCTCCACCCACCTCGGACTGGCACCAGCCACTGTCACCACAGCGCACTGGTGGTGCAAATACACATGTACACACATACATGTGAACACACATGTACACACATGTCCAAACACACATGTACGTGCACACGTACACATGTACACACATAGGTACACACACGCACACGTGCAAACACACATGTACACACACATGCGTACACACATGTACACTAGTATACACACATACACGTCCACACACAGGTGCAAACACACATGTACACATATATGTGCACACACATGTACATACACAAGTGCACACACGTGCACAAACATGCACACACACGTGTGCATACACACCTACATGAACACATGTACACACATGAATGTACACACATGTACACACACGTGTAAAATACACATGTATACACACGTGCACACACATGTACACATGAATATACACACGTGCATACACACATATACAGACACGTCTACACACATGTACACACACACATGTACA